CGACAGGGGAAGATCTGAAAGCTGGGGGCGTCCGACTAAATCTCACCGAAGCGATGGTGAGCAGCGCTCAAACCTAAGGCTAGGGACAAGAAAGTATATTAGTTAGTAGGGTAAGAAAAGAATACAACTGTGGCTTACTGACCTAGGGACAAGAGGTCGAAACTGAGGTCCCTAGGGCAGCAGAGGCCGGCTTATATACATGGGGAGATTAGGGCAGGCTGTGCACGTTGGTCCGTGCGCAGCTGGTCTGTGCGCAGCATGCCGACGCGGCCCCGGGGGCCGGTGAGTCAGAGCGGCTGTGTCAGCGGGGCCCGAGCTATGCCGTGCGCTGCCGCCCCATCTAATCTAATCGTACAGTAGATAGTGACGCGTCCATATCAGGCAGGTAGTACAGAGGTCGCGGGTTCGAGCCCGCGAAAAGGAAAAAATTAAAAAACGGCTAGACGCCGTACCAACTCGTGACAGTGCCCCGGGCTCCGCCGCGGGCTCGGATGAGATGCGCCAGCACGGCAACGTCCCTGCATTCCTCGCGGGCGGCATCGCAGGCGCTGGCGTGGGTGCCGCCGCAACACACCGCTCGATGAGCCCCCCGACAGTCTCTGCGCCGTCACATTACAGTCAGAGCGCATCGCAGTACGCGCCCTCGTCCTCGGAGCACTACCCCGACTACTCGGCCTACAGCGGCGGATACGCCCAGCCGGGCGCAGGATATGCGCCAGACTTCCGGCAACCCTCTCCCGGGCCGTCGCTCGCGATGACGGGCTCGTCGTCTGGTGGTGGATACGGCGCTGCTGCGGGTGCGGGTGCCAGCATCATTACACTTACATGGACGATCTGCATAGTAGGTAGTCTCAGTTTGGTACGGGAAATATCCATGTTTGCGCGGGTGGCCATTAATGATTGTGGGGACCAGTGTCTAAGTGTCCGAAAGATGCAAGCATGGGGACGAGTCCAGTAAGCGAGTCCGTACAGAAAGTCCGAGCAGAAATGCATAATATACACAATTGCGATCCAGGATCATGCAGTATAAGGTCAGCGGGGCCACCGGAGGCGGCCCTAAGCGAATTATGCTGAGCAACAGAAACAGAAGGCGGGTGTTTTCGAAGCAGGCAGGCCAGCCTAGAGTGCCTCACCCATGGCGTACGTGCCTCCCTCGTCGTCGTGGCTTGGACGAGACTGCCCCTGCGAGAACCGACTCCGCGCGCCGGGCGGTGGGCTGGCTGCCGTGTGTACGGACGCGGTCTGGCAGCCCATGTTTGTCACAAAGAGCGGACTGCGCCACGTGGGTGTTCGTGGCGAGTGCGAGGGCGACTCGAGCTCGCTGCCCATGAGCGGGTCCTCCGAGGGTGCGCGCGCGTGCGTCGCCTGTGCGGCAGTAGCGACTGACCCGGGAAAGCGCACGGCGCCAGAACCGGGGCCTGGACTGCTGTCGCCGCCCGATGGGTTGGCGGGACCCATAACGTCGTCAACGATGTGCGAGAGGTCTTCCGAGGATGCCAGAAGCGGGTCTACAAGCGCTGAACGCGGGGGAGGCCAGACGGCCTCCTGGAAAATCGAGCCAGACTCAGAGGTACGCATACCCATGAGGTGTGGGGAGTACGAAACACGGCCCTGGTCGGCGAAGGGAGCGGGAGGAACAAGAGGTGCGCCTTGGAGAGAGCCTGCGTTGTAGGACATCGCACGCGAAGCGAGGGATGGCGCGGAGCCAGTCCCGGGGGTATCGCGGTAGGAGGACATGGGCGGGCCGAGGTCGTAATCGTCCATGTCCTCACCGGCGAGAAGCATATTGCGTGGCGGGGGACGGGAACGGCGGAAGAATATGGGCTTCTTCTGTTGGTGTCTGCGATAGCAAACGGCCATAGCGAGCGAAAGGACGACGAATGCAGCGACACCGACGACGCTACCGGCAATGATCGCACGGTTGCTGGAGGGGGGCGTGCTGGCGGAGGGCGTGCTGAGCGTGGTCACGAAGGGGATATCGGTCTGTATTGGATGTGAGCAAGTGTTGGAGAAGAGTGAAAGGAGGTGCACGTACTGTTGTTCGTACACCATTGATCGTCGTCACTACAGCACTGGTCCGAAATGACATTCACGCGCTTATTTTTTATCGGGCACCGGTCGTTCTGAACAGCAGCTGGCGCAGGAACGCGCCCGCGCGGAGGTCGGGCAGGAGCGCCTGGAACGCGGAGAGCGCGCCCTGTGCGCGGGCGCGGGAGAATGGGGCGCGAGGGCGAGAGGAGTGTGGAGCGAGAGGGCGGCCGGCTGGGGGATGCTAGTTTGAGTGGCGAGGACCTGAATGTACATGTAAAACCAGTAAATGTAGAACTATAGAATGAAAGATTTGAGACATACCTTTAGTTGCGTTGAATGGTGTGCGAGGGTTCGCGCGCGGTGCGCTCGATGTGGTTGTTGGACATTAAATGTCCGTCGGCTCAATCGAGCGAAT